ACACACACACACACACACACACACACACACACACACACACACATATACACTCCAGCATAACCCCCATGATGCCTCTGGGACAGCTAGCCGGGTATCTGGAAATGGCACCTGCTTAGACCCTCTTATCTCTACCACAGGAAAGGCAGAGGTGCCCGGTGATTTTGTGCTCCGACTGACCACACAGGGAGACCCTCCCTGCCTCGCAGCTGTTCCCCTATCGCCCCTCACCATCCCCACCGCCACCCCGAGGTTGAAGGCATGGGCAGCCAAGGTGGCACAGGGCCCAGGCGACTCTGGGCACCTTCGCTCCCAGAACCAAGGCCATTGCCCCTGATCCTACCCCTGCCTCCAGGCCCCGGGCCAGCGCAGCGCCTCCGTCCAGCTCACCTCTGCCCTCCGGCAGCACCGACCTGGACTTCACTTTCCTTCCGGTCCAGCTGTCCAAGAATTTTCCCCTGGAGCAGCCAGCCCTGGTGTCAAGGGACAGCGCTGACGGGCAGCTATTTGCCCCAATCGCAGAAGTGGAAGCCGAGGGGGGCGGAGTCCTATACAGGAGTCAGCCAATGCAATGCACCTCATGGGGAATAGGTTGGTAATAACGGGTGAGGGCGGGGCTATGGGCAGGGCCTGGCAGGGGCGGGGTATGGGTGGGGCCAACAGGCAGCTGCAGGCTGGAAGGGGCTGGATTAATACTGCTGCTGCTGTGGGGAGGAAGGTCTGGAAAAGAGAGCGGGTGATGATGATTCAGGTGAGAAGCCAGGGAAGCCGGCCTGGGGAGGGAACGGGTGTCTGGGCTGGAGTAGAGAACAGTAGCTGGGATGTGGGAGAAACAGGGATATGGCTGGAAGAGGGGTGTGGCTGGAAGGGAGGTATGGCTGGGATGAGGGAATAGATGAAAAACAGGCTGCACGTAGAGGTTCACTATAACCTGAGGAGGAGAATGGACCCAAAAAGGAGACATAGCGAGAGTAAAAACGCGAGTAACCCAGCTACAGGACTCTCCACTGCTGAGGCCCCCATGGATTAAGACCCAGGTAACTTTCCTCTGACACCCCTCACTCCCTACCACTGGTTCTCGGCCAGAAGCCCCCTCCCAGCTCTAAGAAAGTGAACTCTCCTTACTAGAGCTTGGGTTCCTGCCCTCCCCCTGTGACCTCTGCTCCGCAGCCCACGCCTTACGTCCCTCTGGTGACCAAGTCTTCTGCCTGCATTCTCTCCTAGCTATCAGTTATCCCCAGTAGCCATTGAACGTGCTTAAGTCTCTCTTGATAAATAAACTTTCCTGGCTGCACTTCTCTAGCTAGTAACCACCCCACCTTCACTCCAAAATGTCTCAAGACTGTTGTCCCATTTCTTTTAGCTTCCATTCAGTCCCTAAACAACTGAAGCCTGGCCCCAGGGACCCTGTCGCTAAACCTGATGGGCACTTTCAATAAGCAGTGGTTTCCAGTTGGCGTTCCTGCCTCCCTGTTAAAGCTCTCCTTCCCGGGCGGACGTCTGAGTCGCTCAGTTCCTGGCTTTTCTCCCCTGCTCTCTCCCTGTAGCTTTCACTCAGCCTTTCCTGGCTTCTGCTCTCCTTGGAGTTCCTCATACTGCGTGCTCCCTATGGCCTCTTCTCTTCTCATCCCACACAACCTCCCTGGGATAACATCTTGACTTCAGTTCCCACCTATCTGCTGTGCTGTCCTTCACGTCCAGCTGGGCTTCTAGCCTGCACCCTGACCCATATGACCACTTGTTTATCAGACAGCTCTACAAGACTGCACCTCAAACTCAGCCCAGCCCGAACTCAGACTTGGCCTCTCCCCTCTAAAATTGCTCCTATTTACCTCCTTCCTTAGTGCAGGTCCCCACCTTCCATGCCCGAGTCAGAGACCTGGAACCATCCTGAATGCCTCCTCCCTCCATTCCCATGTTCCATTACTTACTAAATCTGTTTTACCTCCAAGATGTGTCCTGTATCCACCCACTTCCCTATATAGATCCAAGCTATATCTAGACAGAAGTAGCAACCTCCTTCCTGGCCTCTCTGCTTCCTCCAACTCATCTTCCACACGAAACACACAAAGGTCTGTCCTGCCCCTAGACTGAGAGAGAGCATCCCAGCATCAGCTGGGCCATTCATCAAGCCGAATGACAAACAGACGAAACCAGCTGCAAAGTTCACAGGAATACTATTTCTCAAGGACACCCGGCTGCAGCTATAGTGTTACAACGACCCCTTTCTTAAAGTAATGACTTTTTACTCAAAAAGAACTTTGAACTCTAAAATCAAACATTAGCAGAAACTTTGCTGTTTAAAATTCCATCAGTAAGCATGAAATTTCCAGCTCCCTCCTGAAGGATGTAAGTCACTTTGACAGAGAAGAGCCTGGATACCCAGCCTGGGTGTAGAGAACCAGGTGGGTGGTTTCTGGACATGACATCCCACAGCTATCTGGACTTGGTGGTTCCCAAGGGAACTGGAGACAGGTGCACTTTGCAGCCCAGACCTGATGCTGGCCCCTTCATATATGGTCCTGCTTTGCACCGAGCCTGTCAAAACACTGCTTCATGCCACCTCACCCTTCTACAAAATCCTATGAAAACTCTCTTTACCTTTGCCAGGTGAGCTGCCCAGGGTTCCCAGTGCAATGAGTTAACACCTGTTTTGAAAAGCTGTGGGGTTGACCCTGAAGGTCCTAGGCTGGTGGGGCCAGAACAACTGTAAGGTCCAAAGTGGCAAGGGCATACTGACGGTCCCTGCAGTTCACAGATACATATGGAGCACCTACTACATGCCAGGTACTGGGGGCACTGCAGTGAATGACAGAGCCCCTGCTCTCATCAATCCCCACTCCTTGAGTGGGTCAGTAAATAATGATTAAATTAAAGGGAGGAGATGGGTGGGAGCTGGTAGCTGTGGGTGCGAGGTCTGGAAAAGATAAAGGGGGAGAGAATGAAGGCAGTGAGAAGCTGTAACAGGAGAATAGGTAGGATATAAAGAAACAAACAGGGACTTCCAGGCTTGAAAAGAACTCAGAGGCCATCCAAACATTTCCTTTCCCGTGTCAAGGGTCTACTGTCTTCCCAAGCTCTTTCTACCCACCTTCGTCCCCACCCCTCCCTACCAATCAGAGGCTTCCTGGCCATTTTCCAAGTTGGAACATCGGGAGAGAGCCCCTCGCTGCCTGGGCTGTGACTGGCTGAAGACAGCTTGTTGTAAGGCATGGTCCCTGGTGGAGGAAATGTTCTGAACACTGAGGCTGACAAGAAAGACGAAGCAGTTCCATGAGAGCAAAGTGTCCCAAAGCCCAGCCAACATCACCCTCCTGTGAGCGGGGACAGGAGTGAACAATCCCAGCTCTTCACCTCAGCTTATTCAAGTTAGGTTTCTGCCACCTGCAGCCAAAGCAGTACAAGGATTAGAACCCCGGTACTTCTCACACACACAAGCCTTGTGTGCACACTTCAGTAATCTCCGAGGCAGTTGCGTTCTACACAAAGAGGCAGTTTCCTGAAGGCTGAAGCACTCCAAGGATGGACAGTAGTGACCGTCCCAGTAGGTGCGGGCACTAGTGGGCAGAGGGAGTGTCCTGGCTTTAGAAATTTAAACATAATGAAACCAACTAAAAATCGGTCTGCTTTGTGGCACCAAGAGCCAGCAATTCTAAGCAACATCAGTGATACAATTCTCCTCCCTGTAAAAGCCTTTTGCAGGAGTCCCCCCTTACCTGCGGGGGATACATTCCAAGACCCCCAGAGGATACCTGACACTGAGGAGACTGCTGAACCCTATGTGTACTGTTCTTTCCTATACATACACGTATACTTGTGATAAAGCTTATTTATAAACTAGGCACAATACGAGATTAACAATAACTAACAATGAAATAGAACAATTACAATGCTATATTGTAATAAGTTATGTGAATGTGGCGTCATTAAGTAAAATTCAGGTTTCCTGAACACACGCTATGCAACACCTCCAGTCAATCTGGTAACTGAGACGGCTACTAAGTGACTAACGGATGGGGAGCGTCTACAGCATGGAGACACTGGACAAAGGGTTGATTCATGTCCCAGTCAGGACAAAGCAGGACAGCATGAGATTTCATCAGGCTACTCAGAATGGCACACAATTTAAAACTTATGAATTGTTCATTCCTGGAATTTTCCGTTCAATATTTTCCGACTGCAGTTGACCGCAACTAACTGAAACCATGGAAAGTGACACCGCGGATAAGGGGGAACAACTGGACTGGTCTAAGCACTAAACCCGGGGCTGGCAGACTTTTTCTGGGCAAGGCCAGGGTAAATATTTTAGATTTTTCAAGCCATATGGCTCTGTCACAGTGACTCGATTCTGCTGATATTGCACGAAAATAGCTACAATATACAAACAATTGAACATGGCAATGTTCCACTATGACTTTATGGACACTCAAATTTGAATTTCACATAATTTTCACACGTTATGAGATATTATTCTTTTGATTTTTTTTCCTAACCATTTAAAATGTGAAAATCATTCTTAGTTCACTGGTTATGCAAAAACAGGCAGCCGGTCGGATTTATCTTGCAAGCCACGATTTGCAGACCTCTGTTCTTAATAGTGACTGTTGTTACTGTTGTGTTTTAATATTTACACAAGTTTCAAATTGGCACATTTTTATTACATATCCTTTAAAAACTGGGTTTATTTGGAGAACTCCCAGTTGTGGATCTGAATCCAAACACACAAATATTCATCTCAAAAGTCTGAAATATCCAGAATTTTCTGAGCTCACTTAGGGTGCAGTGTGGGTCTCCAGCCTATACTGTAGAACATATTCCTGCATTAAAAGAGTACATCTGGGCTGGCCGAGTGACATGTTAGTTAAGAGCTGGCTTGGGACGCCAGCTCTGAGCAGCAGGGCCCCAGTTCGGATCCCACATGAGGGCGAGTGACACTGCGCCCTCTACAGCTAAGATGGTGAGCAGCAGCTCAACCTGGAGCTGGGCTGCCATGAGTCGCCCGCGACGGTGTAGGCTGCAGCCCCTGCTGCAGTGGGCTGCCATAAGCTACTGTGTGTGGCCAGCAGGTATCCAGCGTGAGCAGCCGGCAGCCGGTGTGAGCTGCCAAGAGCCGCCGTGAGCGGTCGTCCAGAGGCCAGAGACCAATCTGCCTCACCCAGGAAGACTGCAATGATAATACCAACATGGGCCAGTGAAGCAACATCCTCCACAACTAGACCGAAGAACAAAAGGACAGCAACTTGTCTGTTCCCCTTCCCAAGTCCCCAGCACTGTTCCCCTCCCCCAATTCCCCAATAAAATCTTTTTTAAAAAAAGAGTAGATCTGGGGACGGCAGATTAGCTCAGTTGGTTAGAGCGCAGTGCTCATAACACCAAGGTTGCCAGTTCAATCCCCACATGAGCCACTGAGCTGCACCCTCCACAACTAGATTGAAACAGCTACTTGACTTGGAGCTGATGGGTCCTGGAAAAACACACTGTT